CTGGGAATAAACAGTGGGATTCCCGGCTCCCAAGATCCTGAGCTGCTTCCCGCTGGGAACTGCTCTGAAACGGGCGTTCTCCAGAGGAAGACGATGAGGTCATTTGCTTTGAGGTCCAGTGATTGTCACTGCCTCTGACCTAGTAGAAAATCATCCTTCGCTGACGCCCCGCCCTGCTGGTCTTGAAGCCCCCTGCAGGCGTCATGTCATGATACTCTCAGGGCATCCAGAGCCCCAGCAGGCAGGACCAACAGGCAGGGCGAGGACCAGGCCTCTCTGTTTCCAGCCCAGAGAGTAGTCAGCACAGCAACCCCTGAGTCTGCCAACTTTTCTTTCTTTTTTTTGTTGACACCGTTTCGCTCTTGTTGCCCAGGCTCGAGTGCAAGGGTGCGATCCCGCCTCCTGGGGTCAAGTGATTCTCCTGCCTCAGCCTCCTGAGTAGCTGGGATTACAGGCGTGCACCACCATGCCCAGCTAATTTTTGTATTTTTAGTAGAGACGGGGTTTCTCCATGTTCGTCAGGCTGGTCTCGGACTCCTGACTTCAAGTGATCTGCCCGCCTCGGCCTCCCACAGTGCTGGAGTTACAGGCGTGGGCCACCTTGCCCAGCGCTGTTCCTCTCTCAGAGCTCATTTACTGGTGTCCTGTCTGCTTTTCATCATACTATTTCTGCTCTTCCAGCCTCTGAGACCTGGCTTCTGTCCCTACCCCTTCCTGAAGCCCTCCTGGGCTGTCTGCAGGCTGGCATCCCACCTGGAGTGAGGGCCTTGCCAGGCAGTGCCAGTCCTCCTTTCGGGGAGAAGCCACTATGCAATGAGCGTCCATCATGTAAAGGCAGACCCTGGTGTCAGGACTGCGGCAGCAGGGGGGGCTCAGGAGCGGCTGGGCGGGGCTCCCCTCCTGCTGCTTGGGCCAGACCCTGGTCACACAGTTGTTCTCAAATCAGGAAGCTCCACCACGCTGCACACTTAGGATTTGTGTATTTTTCAAATGTATGTTGTCCTGCAGTAATACAAAATAGAGCTTTTCTTTTTGTAGGACCAGAGCAGGTGAGGGGCTGGGGACACAGGATGTTTCCAAGGGAAGCTTGTGTGCCTCCTTAGCATCGGGCTGGTCCTGAGCATGCCAGATGGGCAGATGTGGCCTCCACCTGCAGGGAGCTTTCGGGCAGCACGAGTGGGGTTGTGAAGGGTGGGCAGCAGCCTGCCAGGTGAGCAAGGCTCGAGGGGGCATGTGTGCTGGGACGGAACAACTGGTGAGGCCAGGGTGAGGCTGGGCCCTGCCTGCGCTTCACACTGTACTGTTCTAGAGGCTTCTAGCGAAGGTTGGTAAATGGGTGGAGGCTCTTGTCGGGCAGAGGCGAGAGAGACCAGGGAGACCGGGAAGTTTTATGTTCCAGAGATGTTGCGAGGTGATAGAAGAGGGAAGGGATGCGTGCGGGTGGCCGCCCTCTGCCTCCTCACGAGCGCTTCTCCGCCTGCACCGCGCTCCTTCCAGTGCCCATCTTGCCCTGTCTGGAGATCCCTCGGAGGCTGCACTTCAGTCCTCCCTGTTCTTGCCCTTCCCCTGCAGCACAGCCATCGCCTTCTTTCTCCATCATTCCCGTTGTTCCTGACTTACTGTTCAAAAGCTAGCAGCTTCAAACCGCAGCGCATCTCAGCTGTGGGCCAGGACAGTGGGCAGTGTGTGGCAGGGACCCGGCTCTTCACCACCATGTCGGGGCCCTGGCTGGTGGCCTGAGTGGTGAGGCCCGGGCTGCTTTTCTGTCTACTCCACACAGCCTCCTGAGTGGGGAGGGCAGGAACCACTGCACACAGCCAGGTGGCCTCGGACTCAGCCTCAGCTGGCAGGCTTCTTCCCCAGCCACCTGGCCTCCCCACCCAGCCCTGCTTTACAGAGCGATTGCAGGCCGCTCCCTTCGCTTCCCTGGAGTCCCTGCATCCCCCTGGAATAGGGACTTAGCCTAGAGCAGCCCTTCCCCAAATCTGTGCCTCTGAATCCCAGGTCCATGGAATGGAAATGGGTGTGATGTATAGAAAGGGGGTTCCGGGCCGGGCTCAGTGGCTCACGCCTGTAATCCCAGCACTTTGGGAGGCTGAGGCGGATGGATCATGAGGTCAAGAGATCAAGACCATCCTGGCCAACATGACGAAACCCTGTCTCTACTAAAAATACAAAAATTAGCTGGGTGTGCTTGAACCCAGGAGACGGAGGTTGCAGTGAGCTGAGATTGCACCATTGCACTCCAGCCTGGGTGACAGAGTGAGACTCTGCCTCAAAAAAAAAAAAAGAAAAAGAAAGAGGATTGAATAGACAAACAAGCTAGGCTCAGAGGGAAGGCAACAAATATAAATCCGACATCTGATCCCAGCACAGCCCGCCTGGGTGCACTCCAGGTGGTCCCGTGGACTCAGCCCTGGCACCCCGATCAGCCCTCCTGGACTGCATCCCACAGCTCTGCTGGCTGTCCCGCCCCAGCCTCTCTGCTGTGCACGTGGAGTGGGCAGGTGCTGCGGTCACCTGAGGCACAGGCGTGGCTCCCTTGGATCTGTGGGGTCTCACCAGCCTGCTGGGTTCTGCCACTCTGGTTTAAGCTGGTGACCGCTGTCCAGGGTGGTGCCCAGCCTTCTGGCCTCTGCCATCTGGCCCTCCCCTTTCTCCTATCAGTGCCCTGTGTCCTCCGGGCATCCACCCTAATGCCACCTCCTCGCCTGACCACCCCTGCCAGTTGCTCATTTAATTTCTTGGTGGCGCCTCTGATATCTGAACGCTGCCTGGTATTTCCATCCAGCTGCCTGCTCTGGTGCTGCCTGAGAGCCCCGTGCAGCCCACTCACAACGGCTCCCAGAGCCCGCACCTGTAACTCGGGCAAATGTGTGGAGTGAGCAGCCGAAGGACTGGGGGAGCAGCAAAGGGAGCCCCTCTCTAGGACTCAGTTCTCTCTGTGTTTCTTGAGATAGCTCACTCACAGCCCGGAGCAGTGGCTCATACCTGTTATCCCAGCACTTTGGAAGGCTGAGGTGGGCAGATCACTTGAGGTCAGGAGTTCTGGTCCAGCCTGGCCAAGATGGCGAAACCCTGTCTCTACTAAAAACTATAAAAATTAGCCAGGTGTGAAGGCAGGTGCCTGTAATCCCAGCTACTTGGGAGGCTGAGGCAGGAGAATCCCTTGAACACGGGAGGTGGAGGTTGCGAGGTTGCAGTGAGCCAAGATCAAGCCACTGCACTCCAGCCTGGATGACAGAGTGAGATTCCGTCTCAAAAAGAAAAAAAAAGCTCACCTGCCCCACTGCCAGGCTGAGAGCTCCTCCAGCTGCACCCTGAGTGGGCTCACACAAGAGAGAACTTTCTGGCCGGGCGCGACGGCTCACGCCTGTAATCCCAGCACTTTGGGAAGCCAAGGTGAGTGGCTTACTTGAACTCAGGGGTTCAAGACCAGCCTGGGCAACATGGTGAAACCCAGTGTCTACAACAAAATAAAAAATTAGCCTGGTGCGGTTGTGTGCACCTGTAGTCCCAGCTACTTGGGAAGCTGAGGTGGGCGGTTCGTTTGAGCCCGGGAGATGGAGGTTGCAGTGAGCCAGGATTGCGCCAGGGCACTCCAGCCTGAGTGACAGAGTGAGACCCTCTCTTTTTAAAAAATGTATTCAAAAGAGAACTTTCTAACAACCAGAGTCAGATGGGGGCAGCCCATGCCTGGCAGCGTTTCCACCGTGGAGTTGCAGCCCGGTTTGGGAGAACCAGTTGGCCCTCAGAGGACTGAGAGGCAGTGAAGGCAGACACTGGCCCAGGTGGTGGTGACATGCCCATGAGAGCAGCTACCCCCTGCCCTCCTTGCTGCTCTGTCTCTCCATCCTCCATTTCCTGATCGATTGAGACTGGCCCTGGGGCTGAGGTGTGGGACTTGGTACCCACGGGAGGCATTGCATGCATGCGTCTGTCGGCCCACAGCTCGGAGCTGCCTGAGTAAGGGCCCTGAAAGTATCTGGATCTGGCAGGTGTGTGACACGGGTGCTGTGTAGACAGCGTGCCACAGGGCGTCCAGTGTGACTTTATTCACAGTAGCCCTAAGAGCAAAGCATGGAGCAGGAGATGTGTGGCGACAGCAAGGGACCTGCCAGTGTCTGCTGGGTGACCCACTCAGGGTTCCATGGAGGCCGACCAGGAGGGCACGGGCCCACGACTACAGATGCAGCAGGGAAGACTGGCTTCCAGAAAAGCAGGCAGCGCCAGGCAGTCAGGAGACAGCCAGCCCCTTGGGTCACCCACCAGCACCGCTGGTGACCAGAGGGCCAGGACCCCCAGACAGTGCTGTGCTCACGGGCCCGGAGGCCTGGTCCAGCTGAGGGGTGGGCAGCCCTGGGACAAACTGGAGCTGCCAGTGGACAGCAGACAGGACACCAAAGGGACTTCCTCCTGCCCTTTGAAAAGCAGGCAAGGCACCAGAGATGCTGAGTGTGGACAGAGGCTGCCTGAGGACCAGGGCGGGGCAGCAGCCTTGTGCCATGGCCTGGGCAATGGGGATGCTGCCTGCCTGGCGGCATATTAGGGAGACGGCTATGCCTAGAGGAGTGGGCCTTCAGCTGAGCCGGGATGGAGAGGGCGGCATGGGCAGGTGGTGGGGCTCCTGGGCTGGCATTCTGTTTCTTGCAACGCCCGCCGCGGTCCTTCACAGCCAGGTCTGCCATGCCTCTCCCCACATTCCTCCACCCTCTGTTCATCTGGGCCGTCCCTGCCCTTCTTGGTCTCCTGCTGGAGTCCAGGCTGGTATCTGCTGGGCTGTCCCTCAGTCTGGCCCACCTAACATCCTAGGAGCAAATGACTCTCTCCTGTCAGACCAGTGCTGTGGGCAGGACATGTTCCCTCTGCCGGCTGCGGGGCCCACACTGGCTGCTGCATGCTGCACGCCGCCACTGATATGTCCCCAGTTCCGGAAGCCTCCCGTCCCTCCTCTTGTCACTCAACTCCTGCCCTCCCTGAAAGTCCCTTCCTGCTTTCAGCCCTCCGGGGTCAGCTTGATCAGCGTCCATTCCAGCCCCAACGACCAGATGCTGTGGGTGCTGGACAGCAGGGGGAGCGTGCACGTGCGGACTGGGATCACCGAGGAGATGCCTGTGGGGACCGCCTGGGAGCATGTGCCAGGTAAGAGCCCGCAGACGGGCCTGCGATGCCAGCCAGCCAGGGCTGCCATCACTGGAGGCTGCTGGTGCTCCCTCCAGGCCACTGTCTGTGAGGCAGCCCGGTCCCCACCACACTGCAGCCCTTGCGCTGGGGCTGTGCTCTGCTGCCTCTCCCTGGGGCAGGGGACAAGTCTCAGTCATGCTCCTTCTTGGGGGAACGCAGACCATCCTGCTGGTGCTTTTGTGGGAGGATGTTTTGCACACTGCCCAGTCCCTTCTGTCCTTTGGCTTCCGGCTCTCAGTGGCTTTGCTGGCCCTGCCAACTGGGCATCCTTTCCCTCAGCTCCTGCCCCAAGCCCAGCCCGGCATGGGCATTCCGTCCTTGCAGGGACCCTGGAGGAGGAGGGCAGCGTCACAAGAGCGGGCTTGGGAAGTGCTGGCCCATCCCGTCCACCGCAGGGGCTCAGAGGGGCCCTGTCTGCCCACAGGGTTGCAGGCGTGCCAGCTGGCGCTGAGCACCAGGACTGTGTGGGCCCGCTGTCCAAACGGAGACCTCGCCCGGCGGTATGGCATCACAGACAAAAACCCTGCTGGAGACTACTGGAAGAAGATTCCCGGCAGTGTGTCGTGTTTCACAGGCAGGTGCCGGGAGTGCTGGGCTCGAGGTGTGGTTCCCTTGGGGTGCCCGAGGCTCCTGTGGACCATGTCGGGGGACTCTCAAAGAAGCTGCCCCCTCTGGGCTCCACTCCCCCAGAGTAAGAACTCAGGGCAAAGGCTTCCCTGCAGGAGCCTGTCCCAGGGAGGGAAGGGGCGTGGACACCTGGGCTCTGCCAGCATCTCCTGGGGCAAGGACAAGGTGCTGTGACACCCACTTGACAGTTGAGGGCATGAAGTCCACATGGGGATGGTGGCTTGTCCAGGGCCCCCCACCTAGAATGTTGCAAGTCCAGACCTGCACCCAGGCTCCTGTCTCCATCTGTGCCCACCCCGCAGGCTGTGTGATTGACAAGTATGTGATTGGCTGTTGTCCCTGTAGTGACTGCGTCAGATGAGCTGTGGGCTGTGGGCCCCCCCGGCTACCTCCTCCAACGGTTGACAAGGACGTTCAGCCACTCACACGACCCCCAGAAGAGCAGCCAGGCCGCCATGCCCCACCCCGAGGACCTGGAGGACGAGTGGGAGGTCATCTGAAGGAGCCCTGGCAGAGTGAGCGGAGGGTCCAGGCATCTGTGGTGGGCCCAGTGGCTTCCGAGTCACTCCCTGGTGGACATGCTGCTTCGAAACTTGTCCAGGCACCTGTGGCCAGGTTGGACCCACACTCTTACTTTCATCCATGTTGGTTTCTGTCTCGTTCCAGAACCCACAGTCTCCACCCATGGCTGGAGCTACTGCTGCAGTGGTGGCGCCTCTGAGCTCTGGACGGTGGCGGCTGCCCGGCCACACGTATCCCATGACCCAGTGCTGCCGTCCTGGTCCCGCCCACAAATAGCTCCAGTTTCTGTTGGTTGGAGTGGTCTCCGGAGGCCTCCCAGAGCCAGGGGCAGTGGGCAGACCTATGAGCCCCGTGGGCAGCTGGGTTGGCCCAGGGACTGTTTCCACATTAGTGACCCCAGGGCCAGATGGAGCCAAAGGTCACTGCTCTGCAGCACAGGATGTGCTCAGTGATGACTTTGTCCTATCATGAGGAGGTCCCCCCAGAGACAAAGCCGCAGAGCACATCACACCAGACGCTCTGGCCAGGAAGCCAAGCTTGAGAGCACCGGCCATGCCAGGAGAGAATACACGCATACCACACCCCACCGTGCTCACCACACCACACCACACACCCCACCGTGCTCACCACATCTCACCTCACCACACCACACACCACACCTCACTGTACCACACACACACCTCATACCACACACACAACTCTGCACCACACACACCTCACCACACACCTCACCACACACACCACACACACACACCTCACCACACTCACCTCATACCACACACACAACTGCACCACACACACCTCACCACACATACCTCACCACACACACACCTCACCACACTCACCTCATACCACACACACCGCACACCATACACCACACACACACACACCATACCTCACACCATACACACCACACACCTTACCTCACAACACCACACACCTCACCATACCACACCTCACCACACCACACACCTCACACCACACCTCACCACACACACACCTCACCACACTCACCTCATACCACACACACCGCACACCATACACCACACACACACACCACACACCTCACACCATACACTACACCACACACCTCACCTCACCACACCACACCTCACACCACACACCTCACCACACCACAACTCACACCACACCTACCACACCACAACTCACACCACACCTACCACACACCTCACACCTCACCACACCACACCACACACCTCACCTCACCACACAACTCACACCACACCTACCACACCACACCTCACCACACCACACACACACCTTACCTCACACCACACACCTCACACCTCACCACACCACACACCACATCTCACCACACACCTCACCTCACACCACACACCACACCACACCACACACACCACTCTCCACACACCTCACCTCACCATACCACACCTCACCACACACCTCACCTCACCACACCACACACCTCACCACACCACACCAACCTCACCACACACCACACAACTCACCACACACCTCACCTCACCACACCACACCTCACACCACACCTCACCATACCACACACCTCACCATACCACACCACACCACACCACACACCCACCACACCACACCTCATACACCACATACCACACCACATCTCACCACACACCACATCTCACCATACACCTCACCACACCACACACACACCTCTCCACACACCTCACCTCACCTCACCACACCACACACCTCACCTCACCACACCACAACTCACCACACACCTCACCACACCACACACACACCACACCTCACCATACCACACACCTCACCACACCACACACACCTCACACCTCACCATACCACACACCTCACACCACACCTCACCACACCACACCACACCTCACACCACACACCTCACACCTCACTACACACCACACCACACCTCGCTGCCCACACATACTTCAGAGAGCACACTTCAGCTGAAACAATAAAGGCCAATGGGTGCGAATGGAACCTGGACGTGCGCAGGTGTGTCCCGGGCAGGGACGGCACAGGAGGGAGCGTTGGGTGGGAGGCTGAGCCAGGGTCGCTCACATGGGAATGTCTTAGGAGTGGTATTTAACTAATGCTGCTGGCAGACGTCCTACAGCCAGACCATCCTCAGAGGATGGGCCTACTAATGGTTGCTTGTTTGTTGTATTACACACCTGCAGAAAATACCTCATTTCAAATCAAAAATCTTACGAATTTAGAAGAGATACGTATTTCCGAAAACAGTGGAAGGCCTTTTGTTCCTTCCCAGGTTTATCCTGAAGCTGCGCTGTCCTGGCCTGCAGTTTCAGAGGGGCAGCGTCCCCAGCACAGACTTGACTGGCAGGGCGGTCATGGGACCTGCCGGCTGGCTCTGAATGGCAGCCTGCGCCTGCAGGGTATGGACTGACACGCAACAGGTTGAAACCAGTGCCTCTATGGACGGCTCTTGCGGCCCCTTCAGACAATGGGCAGTGCCCACCCTGCCCACTGGCATCTGCGAGAGGACGAGGCCACCCTGTCACACATCCCGCCCTGAGACCACCTCCTGCCCCTCCCAGAAGCAGCTTCAGGACAGGACGCCAGGCTAGCTGCTTTTATTAGCCTGCCTCTGGCCCAGGCCCAGTCCTCAGTGTCAGGGCCCCAGGCCACAGTGTCAGGGCCCCAGTCCTCAGTGTCAGGGCCCCAGGCCACAGTGGAGAGTGATAACATATGTTCTCTGACAGCACCCAGCCAGCCGCAGAGTTGGAGGTTTCCCACGTCCAAATGAGGACAAGATGCCGAAATCCCAGATCGTACTTCACACTTCCCTTTTCTAGGACCTTTTGTAAAAGTTGGTGGCAGCAGAGGCAGCCCCCGGCCGGGCTGCTCCTCTCTGTCTGTTGTGCCTTGCCCGGCGCCTCACGGATGGCAACGCTCTCTTCACCCACGGGACTGTAGTGCAATGAAACTCACGTCTAGGCGATGCTTTTAAACTCCTGTAGGTTTGTGCTTTGTACAGTTTTCTTTCTGGTTTTAATTTTTAGCTGTGCTTTGAGACAGTGCAATAAACTAGACTTTTTTCCAAACCTGGCCGAGTGTGGTGCCTGAGCTGTGAGAAGTTCCCTCAGCCAACACTCACGAGGGCAGTGCAGGGGAGAACCTGCCAAGCCAGCCGCACCGCAGGGAGAGTGCGTCAGCAGACCTGACCCGGCCTGGCTGGTGTTGAAATACACACCAGCTTGTCCACGTGGCTTTTATGGGGGAACGGCCACTCCAGAGCTGGCTGCACCCCATGGTAGCCTCTGGGAGGATGCTGTGGGGTGAGGCCCAGGGCTGTCTCCTCATGGAGCTGTGGGCAGGCGTTGGAGGGGTTCAAGCCCCTGGTTCTACATCTCCAGCCAGCAAATGAAACCATATTGCAGAAGTGCCCCGCTGAAAACTGGCACACACAAAAGCTGACACCCAGAACAGTGCAGGACACACTGTGCACCAGGAAGTGACCTCAGCGAGAACCTCAGGCCGCGTGAAGAGTGGCAAAGCTTTCCAGAAGGTAAAAAAGAAAACGTGAATAAAGGAAGATGCGCTCCATGTTCCTGAATGGGAGGCTGCACACATTATGCAAAGACCTCATTCTCTCCAAAGGAATTCACAGGTTGAGCTGGATTTCGGTTCCCATCCCCACTGGGATTGTTTCGTTGGGGCAGGCATTGAGGAATAATGTTAGTGCCCACAAATGCCCATGACTATGCCCAGTGTGCTTCTCACCAGAACCCTGCAAGGTGAATACCACTAGCCCCATGAGACTCAGAGAGGTTAAGTAACTTGCCCAAGGTCACACAGCATTGGGACTGGAATGCAAGTCTGTAGAACTGCAGACCTGTGCTGTCTGATGCCTCCTCACTGTCCCCATCAGTCCTGGGAAGACAAAATGGTGAAAACTGCTAAGTGATGACAGGTGATAGAGCAGGGGCTGCTCTATCAAGTATGGCCTGGCCCGGACCCTCGGAGGGCCAGGCAGCCTAGCAGGGCCCACAGGGAGGGAGCAGAATGGAGGGGGCATCTCAGATGCATTTAAGGAAGGGCAGTTCACAACTAATGTGGCCACTGCTTCCTTCTCAGGGCAAAATAATATTAAATGGATGAAAGGATCTAAAACTAAGGGGAAATGCTGCTGGGTGCGGAGATATGCAACTGTAGTCCCAGCTACTTGGGAGGCCAAGGCAGGAGGACTGCTGGAGCCCAGGAGTTTGAGGCTGCAGTAAACTGTGATCACACCATTGCACTCCAGCCTGGGCGACAGAGCAAGACCTTGTTTCTCAAAAATAAACAGAAGAAAATAAATGTAAAAATGCTGCAAATTAAAAACCTCAAGGGAAATGCTTGGAACAAGTGGGAATTGATGTTGAGTATTTACCTTAAAAACATACACAAACAACAGGAGGAGGTGTGTGTCCTTCGGCAGCACATATACAAAAACTGTAACAGTACGGAGAGGAGCATGGCCCCTGGGCAGGGACGACTTGCAAATGTGCAAAGTGTTCCGTAAGTACAATAATTAAAAACCAGGAGGAGCACTTGGAGTAGAGTGTAGGGGCTCTTCACAAAAGCAGAAGGAACGCTGGTCGGAACCCCCGGCCCCCCAGGAGCAGAGGGGAGACAGGAGCAGCTTGGGAGCCCCCCATGGTCAGCGACCTTGCATCTTCACGCCCGCCACCTCCGCTTCTCTCCTCAAAACAAGTCCTAAGTCAATGAAAGCCGCACAGCCTGTTTATAATTAGGAAACACTTAAAGCAGGCTGGCATTTGGGAACAGCCATGTTACCGTGAGCAAACCTCTCATGAAATAGCCTGCAGCTGTTAAGACGCACGTGTGTGCAGGAAGCATCGTGCAGGACCTCACCATGCCAGCATCAAGTTCCCGGCCATGGGCATGAAAACGTGGTTCTGTAGGAAATCAGAGGGAGAAAGGGAGAGAAGTGGGAGGGAGACGACATGAACGTTAGAGGGTATTTGTTGTAAGCTTCAAACTTTTGGCAGGTTTGAAATTTTTCATAAGTCCAGGGAGGGGCAGGAGGGGCAAAAAGAAACAAGTTCTCTGCTTGTGACGAGCAGTTGGTCACAGTGGTTGCCTGGAGTATGCCTTTTTGTATCCTTTGAACTTCCAGCCGTGTAAATGTATTATTTATTCCAAAAATAAATCAGATTTACATTTTAAAAATTCAGTTGTCCCTAACTACTCTTTGTTATCAAGGCTGGTTGAGTAAAATATCACAAAATACACACCAGTGACTTCTTAAAAATCATATTTCCAAAGTACCTTACAATAGCGGGAAATGCTTACACTACAGTAAGATTAAAAATTACTAAATTGTAGTGTGGTGGCTCACACCTGTAATCCCAACACTGTGGGAGGCCAAGGTGGGCGGATCACGAGGTCAGGAGTTCAAGACCAGCCTGGCCAACATGGTGAAACTCTGTCTCTACAAAAAAAGAAAAAAAATAGGCATGGTGACACACGCCTGTAATCCCAACCATTCAGGAGGCTGAGGCAGGAGAATCGCTTGAACCCGAGAGGCGAAGGTTATAGCGAGATGAGATGGCACCACTGCACTCCAGCGTGGGTGACAGAGCAAGACTCCAGCTCAAAAAAAACCATAAATTGTGTAAGTGTTATGTCATATGCATGTGCATGGAAGAAACATACCCAGAACGCTAGCAGTGCTCATATGCGCGTAGGTGACGCAGTCAGTCGGCACCTTTACTTGTACCGTGAGCGCTTAAGGGCCCCGCCTCTGGAAACCACATGGGGAGTGGAGACTGTTTCCCTGGCAGGGTCCTCCCACACCGTGGCCCAGACTTCTCAATCCCAGTGTTCAACAGCAAACATAAATTTTATAAGCAGAAAGAAATTATGTTTAAGAATCACCAACAGAAATCTGTCTTTCCCTCATCCCGACTGTGGCGGTGATTACACACATGCAGACATTTATCAGGACTCATCAAAGTGTAACACTTAGGTCTGTGCATTTGACTGAAAAGTATCAGGGCAAAACCACACACTGCAGAGGGGCAGGGCTCCTCCCACAGTTACTCCCTTCCCTTGAAACAAGCTCAAACATGGAGTAGTCTTCTGTGACTAAGCTTGTTTTCTCTCCTCTCCCAACTTCCAGGAAGATCCCTGTTCTGAACAGGATTTGAGATAACTTAGGAAACTGCTCTCAATACAGAATTTTTTTTTTTTTTTTTTTTTGAGACGGAGTCTTGCTCTATCACCCAGGCTGGAGTGCAGTGGCACGATCTCAGCTCACTGCAACCTCCACCTCCCAGGTTCAGTTCAAGCGATTCTCCTGCCTCAGCCGCCCAAGTAGCTGGGATTACAGGCGCCCAACACTGCACCTGGCTAATTTTTGTATTTTTAGTAGAGACGAGGTTTCACCATATTGGTCAGGCTGGTCTTGAACTCCTGACCTCAAGTGATCTGCCCCCATCTGCCTCCCAAAGTGCTGGGATTACAGGCATGAGCCACCTTGCCCGGCCTCTACAGAATTTTAAAGTTCGTGAAGAAGTCGGACAGAAGGAGACATCACAGTAGGAGAATCAGCACACAGAGCAAGCCCACCGAGGTCCAGGCGCCAGAAGGCCTTGGTCCCGCCCACCTTGCCCAGGCCACCCAGACAGCTCAGACTGCCCTACGAGGTCATCTCAGGCAGGTGGGGGTGGTCTCTCACTGTTGGCTTTTGATGACCCCAGGAGTGCTCAGCCTTCACTGTCCTCCCTAACAGGTATTTGGGATGCAGAGATGCTAGCCCCTTAACGAATAGGGTTGGGATTCAGGGCGCTTGGGAACACTGGGCATGCTGGGTGGGTGGAGGGGCAGGACTGGCTGCAGTCAGGTTTCCGTTAGAAACAGACTGGTGGAACTAACGAAGTAAACAAAGGGACCAACGTGCTTTGCCCCAGAGAAAAATGAGTTTTGTTCTGTGTGGAGTGATTGCCTTTGGGAAGCCACCAAGGCCACCTGCCAAGAGGCAAAAGCTGAGCTGCCATCTGTCTGTCTGGCTCCGGCCCTCCCAGTCCTGCAAGCTCATGGCCAGGATGATAACGATGACAGGGGCGACACCATGGTCTTCGCTGCCCTTCCTGGGGCAGGAAGGCCCAAGAGACTGATAAGTCAACCCCGGGGCCACCCTCAGCTGCTTATCTGCCCAGCACCTTTACCCTAGGTCCTCTCCTCCCACCAGTGCCAGGGCGGGGGAGGTTTCTAAGCCACAGATTCCTGGAGACTCAGTGGGAGTAGCTGTACCAGGAATCGGGCACTGCTCTGCTGCCATAAGGCTGCGTGAGAGCAGCTAGCCAGCTTTCTCTGACCTCCCTGTCCCCCACCCAAATCAATGACATCAGTAGCTACTGGCCCAGGCTGCCCTCCTGCTGCGGTGTCCACAATTCTTCCGGCAGGCTCCGCCCTGCATTCTAAGGCCACCCTAGGTGCCTCACCCTGGTCACCTGACAAAGGCCTTCTTGGGGCCCATACTCAGAGCCAGCAAGCCTGTGTCCGGCCTTGGAGTCCTGGAGGCAGGCAGCTGGCTCACACATGCATGACCCCCACACCCAAGGGACTCAATGGCACTGTCACCAAAGAAGCTGTAGGTCTATGGGGCACGTGGAGGGGACTAGCCCTGAGCCTCTGGTGTTGTGGGGGCTGACCTACACAGAAGAGAGCTGGAGCTGGGGAGACTTGGGGGATTCTGCACATCAAGACCCCCAGCAAGGTGCCCAGGCTTTCTAGGCAGAAGCTGCTGGGGCATCATGGGCTCCCCAGGCCTAATCCCTAAGACCCACTGCAGCTGTGCCAGGCCACTCCAGTGTCCACTTCTGTACCCTCCAAATGAGAGGTACCTGCCCCTCCCATGGCATCACTGATCTGAGGACTGCAAACTCCCAGAGGACTGGAGGCCCTGATGCCCCATCTTGGGCTTGGAAAGATGTTAATATCCACTGCCCCAAGTGCCAAGTTCAGAGGCGCTGGTCCAGGACACACAGCAGGGTGGACATAGAGCCCTCCAGCCTGGAGTTTGGGCTGTTAGGGGGCTGTGCACCCACCTAACACACCCCATGCTTCCCAGAAAGAGAAATCACATCCTCTTCAGTGCTGGCAGGGTGGCCGAAGCCAGCCCAACACCTCCTGAATAGAAAAACCTTGATGGGGAGACTGAGGGCCAAGGCACAGCTTTGTCCAAGGTCACGCCCAGAATGGCGGATCCACGACCCCAGGCAAGCTCTTCCTACTGTCCAGCCCCCTCCACCCTGACTTGTTCAGCCCAGCACCCTGGACTCTTCCACACCCAGGCATGCTCCCCCCAGGCACACTGAGGGCAGGATGGGCAGCAGGTGCCCCTGCCAGGCTGGTGGCTCTCCCTCCAATGGACCTTCAGCCTCTGCTTCTGGCAGGACACTGTGGTCCTCCTACGCACGTTAGTGCGGGTTGAATTTCATGGCCCAGCAGAATTCTCGGGCAGGGCAGCCTGGCCATCCTCCCCGGTCTCTCAGCTCCAAGGGTGTGGACCCAGCCTCTCAGCATAGAGTCGTGGTGCATTCATGAACAAGTCTCCCATCTCCAAGATCTTCCTGAAAAAAACAGCTCTCCAAGCTGGGGCAAGAAGCCTGTCCCTGCAGTGATGCAGCTGCCCCTCAGTAACTTGGGGCACCACCTAACACCCACTGGGGGCCAGCTGGGGAGCTCACCCAGCCCACTCCTGGCTTGGACAGAGGGCAGCCCTGGAGGAAGGCACACCTAACCCCACTGCCTGGCATGCAGCTGGGGCCAGGGGCCTGCTGCCACTGCAGAGGTGAGAGAAGTGGGAGCCACAGGACTGGTGCCCATTAGTCTTGGGGGAAGAGAAAAAGGGGACGACAGGGACAAATCCAGGCCTGGGTGGGCTGCCAGGGGGAGTGATATCCAAAGAGGAACTGGTGGTCAGTGGGGGGTAGGGTGGACCACGTACAACTTGGTTATGTCCCAACACCAGTCACCATGGGCCTGCCAGCCCTATGTGCCCTCCCTGGTCCGGAGTACACAGGACTCCCGTGAGAACCCCACGCTGCAGAGCCCCTTCTCTTGGCTTCCAGGCCTTTTTACACGAGGTCCTGCTGCTTGGACACACCAGTCCCCAACCCTGCACCTACCCAGCTCCTCCTGCACTTAGCTGTCACTCCCTCTGGGACACCTGTCCGAGGCTCTAGATCAGGGTGGGAAGCTGGTCCTCACTCCTTTCTGGGGCTACACAGCGAGCTAAAGGCCTGAGCCCAGCTGCACCCAGATATTCTGCCACTTGGAACCCACCTGACATCTAAGCCCATCCCCCAATGCATGCGACAGACAAGGCAGAGATTGTGCTGTACGGAGATCAATATATGTAAAGTGCCAGGTACAACGCTCTGAAAAACAATTTTGTCCCAAAATCCAGCACCTAGGGTGCTCCGGACCTAGCCCTTGCCAGTGAGGTCCAACGGCTGCAGGAATGGAGGCAGCGGCAGCTCATCTAGGGCCTCAGGGAAGCGGCCGGGAGAGATGGTGGTGACCAGCACCTGCATGGCGCGCGCGAAGAGCGAGGGCGGTGCCAGGCCGGCCAGCCACTGGAACTTGTCCTCACCCAGCAGCCGCTGCCAGCGCGGCCGGTCGCCCAGCAGCTCCCGGCGGGCCGGGCCAGAGGCACCCACGGGGGTGTACAGCGCCAGCAGGTCCAGCAGCAGCAGGCGGCGCTGGCGTGGCTCCCCGGGTGCGGAGGCCGCGGCTTCAGCAGCGGCGGCGGGAGTAGCCCCAGCGTCGCGGCCCAGCTGGCGCAGCAGCAGCTCGAGAGGCGTGAGGCCGCCGCCATCACGCAGGCCGGGCGAGGCGCCGTGGCCTAGCAGCAGGAAGAGACACTCCGGGCGCGCCAGCTCGCAGGCCACGTGCAGCGACGTGCCACCACCCTCCACACGGCTGCAGCCGCGCCGGTCCAGCAAGCGCGCACGCTCCTCGGCAGGAAAGTCGCGCAAGGTGCACAGGATGCGGCGCAGAATGCCCACGCGGTTGTAGCGCACCGCCAGCGCCACGTGCGGCCCGGGAGCCGCGCAGCAGCGGAAGCCCGCGCTGGGCGGTGCGAGCGCGCGCCGTGGGAAAGTGGCCAGCAGGTAATGCGCGTACGCCTGGTGGTCGTGCACGAGCGCGTAGAGCAGGGCCTCGGAGGGTGAGTAGGCGGCGGCGCGCCCGCGCTCGTCCCAGTGGAAGGCCTCGCTGGCGCGCATGTCCTCCAGCAGCCACACGGGCAGCAGGTCGCGCACCGCCTGGTAGAAGGCGAACGACGACTTGCGGCACTGCTTCTGCGCCCGTGAGCGCGCCGCGCCGGGGCCCTCAGGCCCGCCGTCCGCGCCGCCCCCGGGCCTCCGTGCGTCCCACGGCATGCCGGCAGCGGGGCGCTCCCGGGCCTCAAGGCATGGGTCCCGTAAAGGCACACCTGCGGGGAAGGGGAAGGGGCCACGGTGAGGCGCGGGGAAACTGGGGAGGTACAGGGACTCCCCTCTGCCCCTCACACAGCCCCTCTGGTCCCAGCCCCCCAGGCCCTCGTACCTACCTCCAGCTTTGGCCAGACCTTTCCATTCATCCCACACAGCTCCGTCTCTCCCACGCCCACCACCGCCTCCATCCTTGATCTAGCTGTACCAGTTCTCCCTTCTTGAAACGGACTTGCTCTCTGGCACCTCTGTTGGAGATGCCCTTGCTGCCCATGCCTTCAGATCTCCCCAGCCCTCTCCAACCCAGGGACCCACTGGAAGGGCTTCCGTCCCACCTAAGCCAGGTTCACACAACCCCAAAGAAAGAAAGAAAAGGGATGGGAAAGCTTGGGCCCACATCACAAGCTGAGCCAAATCCACTCTCCAGCCCAAGCGCCACCCTGACCCTGACCTCTGACCCCAGACCACTTGGAAGCCCCTGAAGCCTCTTCCTGGGCTGGTCAGAGGCAAGCATGATCCAGATTCAGACCTACCTGGTTCCTGCACCGCAATCACCTAGTTCTGGGGATGTGGGTATATCACTGTCCTTGGCCAAGCCTCAGCTTCATCTGTAAGAAAGGGGAGGGGTGGATGACGGCTGTGCGGGACAGGGTGAGGCTGGGGCATAGCGCCAGCCCTGTCCAAACATGTTTGCTTACACGTTAGCACCCCTAGCTCCTGAGAGGAGGCAGGAGAGTGAAAACAACTTTAAGACCGGTGTGCACCACACTGCACTATCAGCCATCCTCTCTAGGTCTCATACTTCTCTTGATCTCCCCAACTACTAGATGAAGTGTGGGTACTGCCATCCCACTTTCCAGCAGGGCACAAGCTTCTCCAAGGTCAGCAAGCCACGGCAGAGCCAGGCCTAGAACTCAGGTCTCCTGCGTCTCAGTTTGGGCTCATTCCAGAATTGGTGGGGACTCCCAACCCACAGGGAATCGAGCTTGTGCCCTGCCCCTGCCCTCTGGGCCCCCAGCCCCGACCTGAGCCTAGGCGTCTGACCTCTGGCTCTGGCCCAGGCTCCCTACTGCCTTCTTTCAAGGGTAAGCCCTTGGTCACAGGGAGCCTGGGACAGAGGGCAGGCCGCATCCACACACACTGGGTCACTATCGCTGGAGTAACTGAGTTAAGGAGAGCGGCCCGGTGGGGGTGGGCTGCGGCCCGTGGGCAACACCGTGACTGGAGTCCGTTCCCCAAGCCTGGGCCTCCGCGCCAGGTATGCCCTGTGCGGGCACGCGTGGGGCGCCGGGCAGGTTACGTAAAGTTCGGCCTCCCCACGTCAGCGGGCAGAGACACGGCCGCGGCTCGTGAATAAGGGGGCTGGGCCATCGAGGGCAGCGCCGCGCCCGGGGCCGCCCGCCACCTCCTTCCCGTCCCCTCCCGGCCCGCACGGCCTGACCTCGGGGGGCGGAGGGTCGCAAGGGCGAGCGGGGCGTCCGCGCGCAGGTGGCCAGCGCAGATAGGGCTGCACCTGCGTGCGTGTGTCCCGGGGGAGGAGGCGGCGGCGGCTGCGGGTGCGGCGCTGGGGCCGGGGACTCACCTTGGGGGGCGCGGGGCCACTGGCCGGGCGTCCCCGCCCCCGCCGCGGGCCAGAGAGCGTGCTGTCCCCAGCCGGCGAGCGAGCGAGCGAAGGTCCCACGACGGACGCACGGGAGGGAGCCGCCGCCGCCCGCGCCCGCCGCAGCCGCGCTGTGAACCGCCGCGGCTGGATCGCAGGGCGGCGGTGCCGGCGCCGGCGGCGGGCGGGCGGCGGGCGGCGGGCGGCGGGCGGCGGGCGGCGCAGTGCGGCCCCGGCCGGGCAGGACCGCGGGACCGTCCGCCGCCGCCATTGGCCCGCGCCGCCGGCCCCCGCCACCGCCCATTGGCCGCCGCGCTGCACCATTGTTACGTCACCGGCTGGCGGGCGGGGCTCACCGCTGGACCCGCGGAAAACTTCGGAGAAACTTGAGGGAGCGCGGGCGGGGACAAACGGAGCGGAGGGGCGGGGCCGTGGCGAGAGGGGCGGGGCTCCGGGAACCCGAGCTGCGGGCGGAGAGAGGCTCCGCGCTCCGGGCAGCCCGGTCCGGGGAGGGCGTAGCTGCTCTGCCAGCCCGGGCGCGCGCGTAGGTGGCCCGCCTTCCGCCGTGCGTGACTTTACTCGTCGCGTCCAACTCCCCTGTTCTCTGACCTTCTGTGACCTTGGGAAAATCCTCCGGGCTGTTGCCCCATCTGCACGTGGGAAGCGGGGGAGCTGTGACCCCTAAGGGCTCCACAGCCTTCTGCCCGGCTCGGTTCCTGGCGCGCCCCCGCTCCGGCGGACCCGCGCACAGTAGGGAGGGGCGGACGGACGAGGACAGCTCCTTAGGAGTGGGCGCGACGCCCGTCTCGGCCTCCACACTCTTGATTCCGCCTCGATTCACGACCACCCGCCGCAGTGGACACAATGATCCCCAGTTCGGCCCCCAGCAAAGCAGGCCTCAGATAGGTGGCCTCCAAGAGAGGAGCCGCCAGGAGAGAAGCCAGGGTTTGCCCTGCGGTTCTTCCCACATTTGGGCGAGATGGGTTGGGTTTGGCCTCAGCCGCCCCAGCCTCTCCGTGGGGGTCCAAGGTTTGGGGTCATGACCTAGGGGGCTTAGGAGCCTGGGTCCATCTCTACTGATTCATGGCCTCACTTGCCTCAGCGGCTGGAAGTTCTAGGCCTATTTTACAGATGCGGACACAGATCTGGAGAGGGGCACGACCCTCCACCTGGAATCCCCCACAGAAATTCTCAGAGGCCAGGCCCCTGGGGTCTCATGGTGAACTCCCCACACTCCATACAGGGGCTCTTTCTGGCTCCTTCCGCAGAATGCTGTCCCTGTCCTTGCAGTACTGTCTCACCAGGGAGACCCTCCCACTCCGCTCCATCCAAGCAGGGCTTCTGTCTCGCCCCCGGTGGGAGGGGCCTGGCCCAGAGGACACGTCCCTACACCCATGCCCAGCCCTGTCCTGGCTTACCTCTGTGCACCAGCCAGTCAGGGCAGGTGCTGGTGGGGCCAGTCTGCGTGGAAGTCACCTGGGCCCTCTCAACAGACCTGCGCAGGCCGCTGTCCCCAGCCGCACAAGCGCAATCCCTTAGGCACACATGCCACAAAGCAGTCCTGGGTGGGTAGTACCAGGAGGCAGGCAAGGCTGTGAGGCCCAGAGAGGGCCAGTCCACCCCGGCGCAGGTGGCTCTCACGTGCACCCTGCCCAGGCTGCTTTGCATGCACCCAGCGGGAGATGCCCAGACCCCACCAGCCCTGCCCCACCTCAGGGCAGGGGAACTTGCAGGCCATGCCATCTCTCCCAGGGAGTCCATGGAAACTGCCAAGCTTACAGCAACCAGGTCATCAGCAGGGGTAGGGGTACAGAGGGCACTGGGCCTGGCATTTGCACCTGCCTTTGCCTTAGCTCCACGCATGTCTCCTCCCATCTCTAGGCCTGTCTCCCTAGGGCTTCTCCCATCTGCCAGTTCCGGACGCCCCCAGTATGATGGTGGGGAAAGCAAAGTGAGTGGAGGTCCTTGGGACAACAGCCAGCCTTTGGGAGCTCCAGACCCTGGGGGAATCTTGGGGAGGTGGTGCTCAGGTGGGCTACCTGTGGCTCAAGGCTCCCCTGCTCCCTTGCCCCATTCTGCTCTTTGAGGGCTGGAGTTGAGGTGCAGCTGTCTCCATGGCTACTGCTGGAATGAGGATAAAAGGGCATCAGTGGATGCCAGGCTGTACCCTGGGCCTCAGGGTGGGTCTCTCCACCCCTTGATGTCTCCCTTGCCCCCTCAACCTGACCTGCCTTCCTTGCTAGGGATCCCAGAGGCCTTTTTTTTTTTTCAAGACAGAGTCTCACTCCATCACCCAGACTGGAGTACAGTGGCACAATCTCAGCTCACTGCGTCTACTTCCCAGGTTCAAGTTATTCTCATGCCTCAGCCTCCCAAGTAGCTGGGATTACAGGCATGCGCCACCATGCCCAGCTAGTTTGGGGTTTGTTTGTTTTTTTTTAATTTTTTAAGAGATGGGGGTCTCGCTATGTTGCCCAGGCTGGAGTGCCGTGGCTATTCACAGGCGAGATCCCACTACTGACCAGCACAGGAGTTTTGACCTGCTCCTTTTCTGACCTGGGCCAGTTCACCCCTCCTTAGGCAACCTGGTGGTCCCCCACTCCCGGGACGCCACCATATTGATGCCAAACTTACCGCAGACACCTGATCAGCATAGCACACTACAGCCCAGAACACCTGGGCTCAAGCGATCCTCCAGCCTCAGCCTCCTGAGTAGCTGGGACTGTAGGCACCTGCCATGGCGCCCGGCTAGTTTTTGGGGTTTTTTTAGTTTTGTTTGGTTGGTTGGTTTTGTTTGTTTGTTTTTGAGACAGAGTCTCACACTGTTGCCCAGGCTGGAGTGCGGTGGCGAGATCTCAGCTTACTGCAACCTCTACCTCCCAGGTTCAAGCAGTTCTCCTGCCTCAGCCTCCCGAGTAGCTGGGATTACAGGCACCTACCACCATGTCCAGCTAATTTTTTTGTGTGTTTTTAGTAGAGATGGGGTTTCACTGTGTTGGCCAGGCTGGTCTTAAACGTCTGACCTCGTGATCCACCTGCCTCGGCCTCCCAAAGGAAGCTGGGATTACAGGCATGAGCCACGTCGCCTGGCCAGTTTTTGTATTTTTAGTAGAGACGGGGTTTTGGCCATGTTGGCAAGGCTGGTCTCAAACTATTGGCCTCAAGTGATCCCCCTGCCCCAGAGGCCTTTTTCTAAAAGCCAAGTCTGACCCTGTTTCTCAGCTGCGTAGAAGCTTTCTGTGGATGAAGACAGAGCCACAAAATCCAGATGGGCAGAAACAGGCATTTCTGGCAGGGGGCAGAGCAGGAGCAAAGGACTGGAGCGTGACACAAAGGCTGCAGAGGCCAAGTGACAGGGGCAGGGCCCACAGGGCCTTGAACGTCACCAAGGAGCTGAGGTTTTCCCCTGAGGCCCGGGGGGTGGAGCAGAGGGTTTGAGAAGCGGTTTTGTTAGTGAATTGTTTCAGGCGAACACACGAAGAGCATAATGATGCTGGGAGCTCGGCACCCAGCTGAAGGAGCAACACCCGGCGGAGGGGAAGCCCTGTGTGCCCATCCCCTCCCTCCCAGCCAGTCTCAGTGCCAGCCCAAGTGGGTCCTTCCCACCGTGAGTGCAAGTGGCAGCAGACATTGTAACACTCCCTGCCGTGGGCCCCACAGCGCTGCCTCACCTCAGCCGCTTGCCTTTTTCTCCCGTGGTCACTTTTAGAGCCATCCCCGGGAAACCCCCTGCGGGGTCGCAGCTGCCATCTATGCTGCAGTGTCTGGCTGATGAAAGCTGTCCCCTGCGAGCACGAGTGTGGACACCCACAGCAGTGCTGAGGTTGCTGGTGCCCTCCACGTGGCTTCATGGCCTCATTGCTGCACCAGAGGCTGCCCAGGGACGGGTGTACAGCTGTGAAGGGGCGGGTTCCTCAGGGAGGGAGGATGGACTGCCAGGAGGGTGGCTGGGGTGGGGGGTGGGCAGAGCAGGATTTCCAAACCCCTAGGAGGCCCAGGATGGAGGGGAGCAGGTCTTGCCATCTAGGGATGGGAGTTGACCTTTGACCTCATCATGCTCCTGCTGGACCTGACCCAGGGCACACTCCTCTTCCTCTGGGAGGGCTTGTCCCACCAGGGCAGGGCTCTGTGTATGCCCAGGCACAGAGCCACAGCAGTGGGGCGAGGGGCCCCGGAAAGTGAGTGAGGACGCTGGGGAACCGGACGGGCTCTCAGAGGGGTGGTGTAGCCAGCTTAGGTTTTCCTGGCAACTCTGGCTGAGAATGCAGTGCAGGGAGACGGGGAGGCTGATGTCCCTGAAGTCAACTGTGCTGGAGCAGGCCGAGGGGCACCAGGGGTTCCTGGAGAGAAGAGCCGCCCCTGCCCACAGGTGAGGGTGTGAGCAGAGGAGGAGAATCTAGGAGGCCTCCTGGGAGTTAGGGGAAGGCTTAGCACCTGGGAGGTGGCAGAGCCAAGAGGTGTGCAAGGCCCTGGAGGTGGGGGGCATGGGTATACAGAGGGTCTCAGAGCGTGAGGCACGGGGCAGAGGGGCATGGGTATACAGAGGGTCTCAGAGTGTGAGGCACGGGGCAGAGGGGCATGGGTATACAGAGGGCGCTCGTAGCATGAGGCACTGGGACAGGAGATGAGAGGCAGAGCCTCCAGCCTGGTTTCCAGGAAAGGAGATGGGTGAGAGCTGCGGGGCCAAGGAGGCTCAGGTGGGAGCCTGGGGGTGTCCCACCACTTCCCCACCTCACACAGGTCCTGTCCTTCCACTGCCTGGCCAGCCCAGACCAGAGCTTACCTGGCCTCTAAGACTGAGCAGCCGAACCCGGAGCCACTCCCCTTCCCTCCTTCAGTGGCAGGCTGGGCTCAGCTCCACTGCGTCTGCAGCGCATGCAGCTGGTCTTTAAAGGCTCAGCTTTGGGATGCCAGTACAGACCAAAGACAGGATGGGCCGGGCACAGTGGCCACGCTGTAATCCCAGCATCCCGGGAGGCTGAGGCGGGCAGATCATGAGTTCAAGGGATCGAGACCGTCCTGGCCAACATCGTGAAACCCCGTTTCTACTAAAAATACAAAAATTAGCTGGGTGTGGTGGTGGGCACTTGTAGTCCCAGCTACTCAGGAGGCTGAGGCAGGAGAATTGCTTGAACCCTGGAGGCGGAGGTTGCAGCAAACCAACATCGCACCACTGCACTCCAGCCTGGCGACAGAGCGAGACTCCATTTCAA